GTGGTTGGTTCAATTTTTGGTCATGATGACCAAAATGTTGAGCCCAACTCAACATTTCAACACTCCCGTTAAAGTAATATTATGTTTTAATAATTTTCAAGCTTTATTTTATAACTGTCGTTAAACAGCGGACCCAATTTTTTGGGGTTCAAGACTATTTATGTTCAACTCTGTAGCCTTGTAATTTCAAACCCAATCCAGAAGACTAGGGAACTCTTGGATCGAGTATTGGGAGAAATTTTCCTTCGTGGAGTACTCTTTTGATGGAGCTAACCCGCATTTGCGTTACATGGAGAGGAAAACCACGAGAACCTCCCACTGTTAACTTGACGGCAAAGGGACTCTAACTCATGATCAGTCTACCACTGAGGATATTTCACGTCGGCACGGTAGTCGGCACAAGCCGGGTGTGGAATTCGCATCGACCAGCCATAGCTGGGATTCGAACCCCGGTTCACCTCATTGGAAGACGAACCCTCTATTCCCTGAGCCGCCACGCTTCCAATTTGAAAGTTTAGTCATTATCTTCTCACAGGTGGGAAAAGTTGTTCACTCAACTGTTTGAATAATTCTTCATTAATTTTTTAGATTCCAAGTGAGCCGGGTTTAAGAACCAAAATTTTCATTAGGTTGCATTTAAAACTTTTATTGTATTTTTCAGGTGAAAAAGTCAAAAAAGAAAATTGGGATAGTTGTTTGAAAAAGTGCAACAATACTCCGTGTGTGTAAGTAATTTTCATGAAGAAGGTTTTTCTAATCTTAAGAAAAATGCATTCATTTAATATATATTTTTTTAATCTTAAACCCATTATACAAATATTGAATTTTTTTTCTTCTTTGAATTGTCAATTTTAGACTGCTTATTTGTAACAGTAATCGAAGCATAAAATCATAGAACTGTTAAGCAGAGTGTTATCAAAAATTCTTTAGAATACTTGATAAAAATGAAATTTAACCTGAAAAAGTTTCTAACCTCGAACTCCTTAGAAGTCACATATTAATATTTAAACGAAAGAAGAAAGAAAAACCCTTTCATAATCTAAGGGGAACCATTATTGCGGTATTAAATAACTTGAAATTCATGAACTCATTCCTCAGCTTAAAAATCGGGTTGAGGTAGGAAGATGGCGAAAGTCTCTTGTCACTTGAAAACATAACACTTTTCTCCTTTTTTGATTTCAAATAATTGCTTAGATATGTTTAGAGACCTCATTTGTTAAAAGAAATAAACCCCTTATTCTAATATAATTTCTCCCTGCGACGTACAAACATATACTTTTTGACCAATGTATTTGCACCAAATCTCCAACCTTTTTTCCCTCCAAAAAACAAAGCAAACTGTAGTGTATCTACAAAATAATACTACAAAAATATGATTCAAATTCACTAGTACATTAGACATGTTTACTCTATTCTATGGTGAGGTACTTTTTCCTGAATTAAGGTCGGCATTGTCTATAACAACTCTCCCCACATTGGTGACCCGGACGTGATATGAGCATGCCTACCTTGACAGAAACTCCCACTTCATTATGAACACGCCTACCTTGTCAAAAACTTCAACTTCGATTTGAACCCGCCTACTTTGATGGGTGGTCCACATTGAACAGTTGGCGTGCTACTTGTGACTGCGACATTACCCACCCCTTCGTGCAGCCGTTACTCAGGCTCGATCACACACAACGTTGGCCCATATACACTCGACTGCTATTGTCAACACATGAGCTATCACGACCGTGAACCTATTATAGCTCTCGCGATCAGCACTCAAATGTACGGTGATCTTAATACAGCTCTTCCGGATTCTTACAAAGCAGCAATGGACCAACTAGTTGTATCCGTTCATCGTATTCTATTACAGATATAAATCTGGGGATAGTACTATAGTGTATCTATCACTACAAAAATATAATTCCAATTCAACTAGTACATAAGAC